CCTCGTCTTAGTGTCAAATTTTAATTAATGCTTTGTTGCTGATATAAAGATTGCAGTATAACATTGTCATCGGCTTGATCATTAGGTTGCTTGGTCGTCTAAAAGCGTTTGTGGCCAACAAAGCTCATCCTGAAGGTTCTATTGCCGAGGCTTACATTTCCAAAGAATGTACAACCTTTTGTTCAATGTATTTAGATGGAATTGAAACATTGTTTAACCGCCCATAAAGGAATTATGACATGGGTGACCGTGGCCCAGGGTTGGCGGTATTCACTCAAAATGTTCGTCCCTTTGGTCTAATGACAAGGGCGTCCGATGTGTCTGCAACTGAACGCGAGATGGCTCATTGGTTTGCCTATACAATAGCACTGAAGTAGACAAATACATAGAGTATGAATCATTCAAACATATTTAGAATCTATTTGTTGTAAATTGATTAGTCTTTATCTTAGTAAATATTTTTGAATTGCATTTCTTGTAACTAGGGAGCACAAGAACTTGTTACAACAAAGAGCCGGTGCATTCGACATCGAAAATAGATAGCGGAAAGAATTTCCAAAATGGTTCAAAGATCATGTAAGCTAGTATTCTTATACCCTACAATCAATCGTACATTATGTTAATATTGTGCATGCTTGTGACATGACACATGTTCTTCATGTAGATGAATGAATTGCGGAGCCAAGTTTCCCCTGAAGCAATTGATGAGATGTGGTCATTAGCCAATGGTCCTAGTGGCTTAGTGAACACATATTCAGGATGTATTTGTAATGGTGTCCGTTTTCATACTGTCGACCGTGACAACCGTCATAAAAGTTAGAATAGTGGATTAGTCGTGGAAGGGGAGCATGAAGGCTAATTGATACACTTTTATGGACACTTGTGCAGAGTGTGGGAATTGAACTATTTGTTCAGACGTCGGATTGTATTGTTCTAATGTGAATGGTTTAACACCGGTAGTAGTAGGACTATGCATGTAGAACCACATTTGACAACAATTGATGTAAGAAGTCAATGGTACAAAGATGACTCATTTGTATTACCAAGTCAAGTTGAACAAGTATTCTATGTTAATGACACCAAAATTAGGTACTGATTGGAGAGTCGTAGAAAAGTTTCAACATCGAGGAATTTGGGATGTGCTAGAGATGGATGACGTACAACCTGATGATGTGTTCCAACAAGAAGAAACCACCGAGGTCGTACCAGCTATGGCTATTGATGATGATGTGGTTTTGCGTCGACATGATATTGAATCTGAAATTATTCCACTGGAAGTTTTGCAATCTGTCAGAGGTGTAGAATCCAAGGGCGTTAGAGATGATGCCTTCATTTATGATGATGAAGATGGATTAATGAGGGAGGGTGATGACCCAGACGAAGAATATGACCTACAAAGTGATTTTGATACAGATGTTGATGTAGAATCTTGATGTATATCATGCTTTAGTTCATTCCATAATTAGAGCAATGTGAATGATCAATTGGTGCACAAATGCAAATCAAACTCATTATGAAATGGGGGCTCTCTCTTTGTAAATGTCAATATGTTGTAGATATAAAACACTAGCTATATTTGGTGTCTGGGGAGAATTAAATTTTTTAAAAACTGAGAGGATGATAAAGCATGTGAAATAAGACCAAATTTGCACTATTGAAAAAAAAGACTAAAAAAAAAGACTGTGTGTAAACCAAAACCCTTTAAACATATTAAAAACTGAGAGGATGATAAAGCATATTAAATCTTGTTCTTCATTTTTGCTTTACATTTTTCTTAAGGTTTATTAAAAAAGACTGTGTGTAAATCAAAACCCTTAAAACAATTGAAAAGGAAAAAAAAAATGTCATGTCTTCTGTGTTTGTCATGGAGAGATGCTTGTCTATAGCATTTTCTATTCTATGAGGCTTTTTCAGGAGTGATTTACATAGAAATGAATGTCAGCCGAAGTTGTTGGAATAAGGTCATTTCAAATAAATGAGGGAGGTTTAAAAATATCATATCTGATACAAACAACAATAGTAACAATTAAAAATATCATATCTGAGAGAGGTTTAAAAAATCTTTACTAATTCCCGAGCTTCAAATACATTGAATTTTCCTATAAAATAGTATTTTGTTTTGTAGTTAAGTGCTCTTTAATTTTTTTTGATCTTTTTTTTAAAGGTTATTTTGTTCTTGTTTTGTTTTCTCTTATATTTAAAAAAATCATGAGGTCGTGAGGTTGGTCGTATGGATGCAAGTTATTGCACTCCTCAAATACCTTTAATTTTATGCTTTTAATGAAATTTTTACTTTACTGATAAAAAAAAAACATTGAATTTCACTATTCTCTTTGAACTTTTTTTCCCTTGATAAGAGAAGAATTCTCATTGCAGAATCTAGAAGACTTGGAGCCTTTAATTTTGTAAATATTTCTTGATTTCCTCATTTGAAAATATTGTTTTAGGAAAACTTTTAAGTGTGCATTGTATATAATATGCATGCACTTTTATTATGTAATTTTGTAGTTTGAGTTATATATTTTTGTGAGATGAATTATGTATTCATGAAAACTTACGTGATTTTGTGAATTGTAAAACTTTTATGAATAGCTTATGCAAATTGTTGTCCAACTTGCATATTATGATGAGATGAACTATATAAATTCATAAAAACTTACGTGATTTTGTAAATTGTGCATATGGTGTAAGGTTGCACATCCAAACACTTATCCTTACGTTATGGGACACTGAGCAATGTGTATGTCTCTCAATTTTTTTGTGTGATTGATAAGCCAATGGAATTTTTGAGAATTTTTAATCTTCACTTTTCTATGTTACTCTTTATGTTTAAACACAATCACAATTCTTGAAAAACTTATTTAAATTAGAGAATGTTATTTTTCTAAATTTATCATTTATTCATTCACTATCTAAACTTTGTGCATTGACATAATATGGGACCGAGCGAGTAGGAATTTTCAGATTTTGAGGGAAGAATTAAAACAATGCAACCATTTCAACAACTCAGGTGTTGCAAAAATTAAAAAGAGTATTCCGCTGCTGCTTTCAGTTAATTTATCCCTCACCTTGAGCAGAAATATCTCCCGGTTATCTATACAATTTCTACATGAAATTTACTTGGAAAATAATTTCTTGTGGCGGTTGTAATATGCCGATAATTTCTGCAGTATCAATATCTGATTAAAGGATTTATTTGATACAATTGAAAATTTATATTGAATTATTAGAGCTAAAATATTTAAGTAAGCAACTTTAAAAATTGAAATTGTAAAAACATATTTATCGTTCAAATAAAATTATAATTACTTTTTATTTTTGTGTTTAGTGTTTGATGGTAAATTATATCTCTGTAACTTAGATTAGGAATTTTAAACCAAATTTGTAAATTATACTTGGTAGCCAAATATGTAATCAAATGTTTTGGCGACAAAAAATTTAGTAGCAAAAACATAACCAAAAACTTTTTGCGACCAAATAGTTAGTAGCTAAAACCATGGAGAATGAAAGAAAGAAACTATTGGCCACTAAATTTTTTAGTCACGGAAAAAAAAATGGTATCATTTGGCGACTAAAACGTTTGGTGGCAAAAAGTAAGTGAAACTTAACAAATTTTTGGCTACGATCAATTTTAGTCGACAAAAGTCTCAACGACAAAATTACATGGTCACGAAAAATATGTATTCTATTGGTGACCAAAATAGTTAGTCCGTAATAGTTGGTCAAAATTTTACGATAGAACTTATAGTGACTAACATTTTAGTCGGCGAAATGTCACGTTTGCTGACTGATTACAATTCGTAGCCAAATGTTCACTTCCAGTGACGAATTCTTTAGTAGCAAAAAGTAACACCTTCCCCGACCACACGACTTTAGTAGCCAAAAGTCACATTCGGCGACTAACGGTTTTAGTGGCGAAAAGATAACATTTGCCGACTAAAACAAATTTAGTAGGCAAATGTTTCACTTTCGGCAACCAAATAAAGCTTAGTCGCCAATACTATCGCCGACAGGGTATAGGCGACGAAATTGGTGACAGAATTTTTTAATCGTTAAATCGTTTCAGCGACCAAATATTTGATTTTTGGCGACCAATATTTTAGTAGTCAAAAGTGACATTTCTTGTAGTGTACACATACATAATAGGATTATCGTGTTAAGCGAAAAGTCACGGGTAATTCTATTTCCATACTCCAAAATATTTCACTCCACATCCTCTCTCAATACACACACCGACTAATTTTGAATGTTGTAATTTTACTCAATGCACAACTTTTTTTGTCAAAAATATCACTTTCTTTAACATTGAAACCCTAAGCCAACCCCCATTCTCTAGTTGGTGAAGAGCAATTCTTCAAGCATTCCGGCAATGGCCCGGTGAAAAAAATCTTTCGGCTGCAAAAATGAAACATATGTATAAATTGGGGCACACGAGCAAACAAATAATACATCACCATAAAGATATTAACAAATCAATCCAAAAATTCACTCATTATGAAAACAAAAATTGAATTGAAAGAATATTTACCACTAGATCCTTTGTTTTTGGATGTTTTTTCCGTTGAGAATAGAATTCATGTAGTAGTAGTGAAAATGTGCATGTATGAGATAGCCACACAGGAAGAAAGAAAGGAAAAAAGAAGAAGAAGAAGTGAAACAGTAAAAATAGCATATTGTGAATGGCCTTTTCAACGGTGAAAACAAAATTGTAATAAAAAGCTCATAAAAACAATAGTAAAAAGTTCTTGAAAACAAATATATAAACAATGTATTAGGAAAATTCCCACTCAATTGGTTAGTGTTGAGATCAAAAGATTGCAATAAACTCAGATTTTCAAAACTGTAATATCGGTGACAATAGCGGTGGGCGGTAGCTAGAGTTAGGGTTAAGAAATTAGGATTTTGGTGGAGAAGATAAGAATACTTTAATAATTTTATTTTAGAACAAAACTGTAATAAAAAAATAAATCATTAAATATGTACGCAGAGAAAAGTAAGTGTGTGAAAATAGAATTTCTCAAAAGTAACATAAAATGTAAAAATGTAAAAGGTTTCAATAAAATATTCTAATAGAAATTACAATGCACGCAACAGTGTTTTCATGAAATTATAAATCAATGAAAACAGCTTTGTTCTATCTGTTTCCTAGCAGCTCTTCACTAGGGTTTTAGAGGAACCACCCCAGTTATCACCAGCAACTCTGTTTTCTCTGTCCTCTTTCGCCCACTGCTCCGCCAGTATCCGCTCGAGCTCCCTTGGTGGGCACGGAACCGTCAGAGCGCCCTCCCGATCAAAACCGTACTCTTCTGCTGCTAGCTCCAACAACCTCATGAATGAAGGGTTCGTCAGATAATTCAGTGGAATGATGAACCTCTTGAGCTCATCGTCGTCCACTGCAATCACTGCAAAATGCCCTTCTTTCACGTCCTCGGGTACATCGCAGGCCGGTTTCTTGACCATTAAAAGACTCTTTTGAAGCTTCTCTACCACAATTTTAAGCTTCACAATGCCATTCTTCTTCTTGTTGCCATTCATTCTAAGCTTGGCCATGGCTTTGTTTTTTGTTTTTATTTTTTGTTTTGATTAACTCAAAGAGTGTGCTTTTCTTAGCATGCTAGCCATGCTTATTTATAATGTATAAGAGAGCTAGAGATAAGGCGGAAAAAGGGCGGAGAGAAAGGATTTTTTTTTTTACCAATAATTGGGTGTCCGGTTCAGTACACTTCCACTAATTTTAGAGAATTAATCCCACTACTCACTTTTGGAGTCCCATTTAAAATAAGGATGGTTTTAAATAATAAAAAGTATTACAATATATATCAGTTAATATACAATATCATATATCGATGAATAACGGTATTAGAAAAATAAAAAAATAAAAACTAAAATTATCACTTATCTCGGTTCTGGATAAATTTTTTTAAAAAATTTATTGAAGTTATTTTTGTTTCATAAGGTATAATTGATAATAATTTATAAAAATAACCTAAAATTTAAGCAAGCTTTTTGAGAGGAAGAGAGAGAGAGGGAGAGGGGACAAATGGTTGAACAGAAGTATGTGGAAAAATGGGAGACAAGTGCATGTGAATGAAACTTCGTGTAGCCCATGAAAAGTCTTGTCTGTCTTTCCAGTTGTGAACACCGTTCTAGCTTGTAAATATTCTTTTCTCCAACCTATTATACCTGCTAATGCACAAAAATTAAGAAACATATTACTCCAGTTTATGTTTATTTTTGTTTTTTAAACAATATTTGGGAAAAAATATTTTAAAATATATATAAAAAAAGGTTTGCATAGGTTCATGAAATAAATAGATAAATTACATTTATAGCCCCTGTAATTTACTTCTTGTATCCATTTGACCCTTATAATTCTAATTTCGTCAATTTCATGGTTGAATTTCATTTCTTTCTTAATGCAAATGGGTAGAGACTTTCTAAATATAAAAAGGGACAAATTATATGAGTCTTAAATATTTTTTTTTATTAAAAAATGAAAACAATTATAAACATAATTTTCGAACAAGGATGCCAAAAAAAAAACACGTATTACTGTACCATTAATATTTTTGTAATTGTGAATCACAATAATGGCTACTTACTTTTGATTGAAAAGACTAGAAAATATTATATTATATAATTCTATATAAATTTTTGGGTGAATCATACTTTTAACTTTTATAGTTTGACACATTTTATTTTGGTTCCTGTTGTTTTAAATTGTACAATTTCTAGTCACATCACACTAGTCTAATCTGAATTTGGTTTTTCTGTTCAAATTAGAGGTTGAAATTAATTATTTGGAGACATTTGTCTATTTTTTAAGGTGTACACAAACACACAATAATAATAATAATAATAATAATAATAATAATAATTTGGATAGAAGGACTAAATTGAATCTACACTTTAAAAAATAAGGTCAAAATTGTTTCAATTGAAACAATAGAAGCGAAAATAAAATTTGGTTTAAATTATAAAGATGAAAAGTATAATTTACTCTTAAATTTTTGTACATATTTTGATTATATAAACATTATCTTTGAAGAAAAAAAAATTAGAAGTCTTCCAAAATTAACGACCTTCCAAAATAATGACCTAAATCCTTTAGTTATTGTCTTTATTTATTCAGATAATTGTCTTTAGTTAAGAGATGGCGATAATCATGATTATAAAGCATATCATACCCTTATGCATATTGGGATGTTTGGGAAGAGGGTCAAGTTAAAATAATTCATTAAAAAATAAAATAAATTAAAATAGTTAATAAAATATAATATCACATTTAATCCATAATTATTTAATTTTTTCTCCCACAATCATCAAATCAACTATCAAAAAAAAAAAAAAATCAATTAACTTTTCAAACATAACTATTTTAGCTAGGCTAAAAGAGTTAAAAAGTCAATAACTAACTTGCCAAACAAGGCCAATGTGATAAATAGTGAAAGTGTTTTTATTAAAAATTGTTTAAAAATATATAAACTATTATTAATTTTGATATAGTTATTTACAACATGAGTTTGGCTTTGTGATTTGTGGGTTCATTTTGGGATCGATTTTAGTGATAAGAACAGCTCACTTTTGAGGATTTGTTGAGTTAAATATTCATATAAAAAATTAAGATAAACAGATATTGGTAACTATATATTTGAATCAAATTTTTATTATAAAAAATAATAACAACAAAAACACATTTTAGTGACACCATACTAGTGGCATGTTCTTAAAAAATGTCACAAAAAGAATATTTGGTGGCATTTTTAATAAAAATGTCATAGAGCCACAAACATACAAGGCTCTAGTGGCATTTTAATTAAAAAAAGTCACTTCACTACAACAAAAATGTCACTATAACAAATTTACACTTTAGTGACACTACACTAGTGGCATATTTTTAGAAAATGCCACAAAAATAAAAATTGGCATTAAATGTTTTAGAAAAATGCCACAGAACCACAAACATATAAGGCTCTAGTGACATTTCAATAAAGAAATGTCACATCAATTTTATGGCATTTTATAAAATAATGACACAAAAAATCATGTTCGTGACATTTACCAACAGATGTCACTAAACTTTAGTAGCAATGGCATTTTTTAAAAAATGTCAGGACACTAGGTAGGTGCAAATTACTTTTTATGGCACTTAGGTGAAAAGTGTCATAAACAAATATTTTATACCATTTTGAGAAATGCCACTATGCCAAAAACTTTCCAAGCTTATAATGACATTTTTAAAAAAACAAAAAATGCCAATATATTTTTAAAATTTTTAAAATGCAGTAAATGATTAAAAAAAAATAAATTAAACTCAATATACACTACAGAAAAAAGCACATTCGGCAACTAAATTTCCTGACCAAAAAAAATTTGTTTGCTGAAAGTATAGCTTTCAGCGACCAAAACAACATTAGTAGCCAAAAGTAAAGGTTTGTGGCGACTAAACAATTTTAGTAGCCAAAAGTTTATAATTGGCGACTAAAACTAAGTTTGGTTGCTGATTATATGGGTTTTAGTGACTAAAAAAATTTTTGTAGCCCAAAGTAAAGCTTTTTTGTGACTAAAAAAATTAGTAGCCAAAAGTCTACAATTGGCGACTAAAAATAAGTTTGGTCGTTGATTATATGGGTTTTACCAACTACAAAAATTTTTAGTAGCCAAAAGTAAAGCTTTTTGGTGATTAAAAAAATTTTAGTAGCCAAAAGTCTACAATTGGCGACTAAAAAATAAGTTTAGTCGCCAAAAGTGGTCATTTTTAGCGCGGGAGAACTAAAATCCTAAAGCAGCAATTAAATTTTTTGGCGACCAAAATTTTGGTAGCTGAAAGTGCATCTTCGGCGACCAAATCCGATTTTGGTCGGCAAAAGTTAATTTTTTAGCAACTAAAAAACAATTAGTTGCCAAAAGTATAGAATTGGCGACTAAAAAATATTTTTAGTCGCCAAAAGTGGTCTTTTTTTATTTTGCTAGTAAATAGTTTATTTTATATAAATTATGTTCAATAAAATAATTATGTTTATACATATACTTTTATATTAATATGGATGTATGTACTATATAAATAATATATGTTGCATATATAATCATGTGGTGTTATAGAGGTATAGTGGGAAGAGTGTGGTGTATAAGGTTTATGGTGCGGGAGGTTGACAGTTCGAGTCTCCGCAAGAGCGGATCAAATTATCGTCACGAATGGCACTTGATAACGTCACGAATAGTGCCTACCATGACAATAAAGTGTCATTGAAAGGTTTTAGTCTTAATGGTGTAATGACACTTACAAGTATCACTAACTCTTTTTTTAATGGCGCTTGATAGTGCCACAAATAATATCTACCATGACATCAAAATGTCATTGAAAGTTTTTAGACATGATGGTGTAGTGGCACTTGTAAGTATCTACCGTGGCACGAATACAAATAGCACTTGTTCAAAATGCCACGAGACTAAAAATGTCATTAAACCAATAGTTTTGTGGCACTTTCAAATGTTACTAAACTAAGAAAATGTTGTAGTGATTATTCATTTTTTGAAAATTTAGGCTGATCACTATTCACTTTTTGACAAAATTAAAATTGATTAATTATATAATTTTGACAAAATTGATTGATTGGTTGTATTATCTTGACAAATGTAGTATTGATGAGTTGTTTTCTTTTGACAAAAGTGATATATCCAAATGTAGTGATAGGTTATGTTTAGTTAAAAATCTCTACAAAAATTTAAAAAGGGTATATATGATAAGATCTATTATAAATATTACTTAAATGGATTTTACTATATATTCAAATATTTGATTAGAATATTATATATAATGCATATAATATAAATAGAATACACCATGTAGGCAATTAAACTTTTTATACTACATTGATTATATCATATTATAATAAAACAAGAAGAAAAAGATGGAGTTGTATATATATATATATATTATAATAAAACAAGATGGAGCAAATCATTTGCTTGTTTGAAAGTTGTGAACTTTGTATTAAATTGTCTATAAAAATGGTGACTCCATGTTTGGAAAAACAAAAAAAGGAAAAGAAAAAATTAGTCTTACTTTTTTTTTTAATTATTAACATTTGCTGACTATTTAAAATTAAGGAGCGTGCTTATGTAAGCCATGACGTCAGTAAGGTTGTTGACTATTTAAAATCAAGGAGCGTGCTTATGTGAGTCATGACATCAACAAAGAACGTCTTACTTCCAACGGGTTTATTTTTGTGTATAAATAGAAGTGTTGTGTGTGGAGAAAAATCAAGAACTTGAAGAGGAAAATTTATGTGTATACTCCAAAATTCTGAGTATATTGTATTGTGCTTTTTCACTTTCAGATATGAGTGTAGCTGTGATACCCCTGTTCCGTAATACGTTAATTGGTCCTTAATATGGGTATGATGATGTGTTTAATATGATTTTATGTGCCATTTTGTGAATATATGTGATTTCGAAGTTCTATCTGTTCATCGTAGGAATATCTATTTGAATAATCTGCTTTGGAAATTAACTTGAAGGCTTTATCGACCACAGAACCCGAAATTGATTACGCCATTGTGATTGGCATAATTTTTAGAGCCTACGGTGAAATTTAATTGAAAATTGATACAGGTT